AGAAGGGGAAGGGACTTTGCCATGTCTGCGGTGATCCTAATCACTGGGCTCCGAAGTGTCCTAACCGCTTTGAGGAGCGCGAACATGAGAAGAGCGGCAAGTCCGCTAATGTTGTCATCGGTGATACTGATATGAAGGAATCAGGGTACGGTATTTTTCCTACCATCCTTTCAGTATTTCAATCCCCTGATTGGTTAATTGACACCGGTGCCAATGTACATGTTTGTGCTGACGCCTCCATGTTTTCTTCTTACCAGGCAACAGGGACTTCACCCGTGCTAATGGGGAACGGGTCACATGCCATCGTTCGAGGTGTTGGTATGGTCGATCTGAAGTTTACTTCGGGGAAGACTGTGCGTCTGAAGAACGTTCATCATGTGCCGTCCATCAATAAAAATCTCGTTAGCGGTTCCCGTTTATGTCGAGATGGTTTTAAGTTGGTTTTCGAATCCAATAAAGTTGTAATTTCTAAGTGTGGACAATTTGTTGGAAAAGGCTATGAGTGCGGAGGCTTGTTCCGCCTATCTTTGTCAGATATTTGCACTAAAGTTATTAATAATGTTTGCCACAATAATGAGTCTGATATTTGGCATTCACGACTCTGTCATATTAACTTTGGTTGCATGACACGGTTAGCCAATATGAATTTAATTCCGAAAATCTCTACTGTCAAAGGCTCCAAGTGCCAAGTATGTGTGCAAGCTAAGCAACCTCGCAAGTCCCATAAGACTGCAGAGGCAAGAGACTTGGCGCCACTTGAGCTTATACATTCTGATCTTTGTGAGATGAATGGCGTGTTGACAAAAGGTGGAAAGAGATACTTCATGACGTTGATTGATGACTCCACTAGATATTGTTATGTGTATCTTCTAAAATCAAAAGATGAGGCTTTGACTTTCTTTAAAAACTATAAAGCTGAGGCAGAGAACCAACTTGATCGAAAAATTAAACGGTTTAGGTCCGATCGTGGTGGAGAGTATTTTTCCAATGAATTTGATCTGTTTTGTGCGGAACATGGTATAATCCATGAGAGGATGCCTCCCTACTCACCCCAGTCAAATGGGATAGCCGAAAGAAAGAACCGAACTCTAACTGATATGGTTAACATCATGTTAGACACTTCAGGTCTATCCAAGGAATGGTGGGGGGAGGCGCTAATGACTGCGTGCCATGTCCTAAACCGAGTTCCCACAAAGCATAAGACCATGACTCCATTTGAGGAATGAGAAAGGAAAAGGTTGAAACTCTCTTACCTACGTACTTGGGGTTGTTTGGCGAAAGTCAATATACCAATTCCCAAGAAGCGCAAGCTTGGACCAAAAACCGTGGATTGTGTTCTTCTGGGCTATGCTTTTCATAGCATCGGCTATAGATTTTTGATAATAAAATCTGAGGTATCCGACATGCATGTTGGTACGAATATGGAATCAAATGATGCAACTTTCTTTGAGGACATATTTCCTATGAAGGATATGTCGAGTTCATCAAATCAGGAGATACCTACTCCATCTAGTGAGGAATTCACTGTAATTCCTGAACCCACCATTGCGATGGAACACGTTGAGAATCCTGTTGAGGGTAACAATGGAACTCCTATGAGGAGTAAGAGACAGAGGACTGCAAAGTCTTTTGGTGATGATTTCATTGTGTACCTCGTGGATGACACACACAGGACTATTTCAGAAGCCTATGCATCTCCTGATGCTGACTACTGGAAGGAAGCTGTACGTGGCGAGATGGATTCCATCTTAGCTAACGGTACCTGGGAGATCACTGACCGTCCTTATGGGTGCAAACCTGTAGGATGTAAGTGGGTGTTCAAGAAGAAGCTTAGACCTGATGGTACGATTGAAAAGTACAAGGCACGGCTTGTGGCCAAGGGTTATACCCAGAAAGAAGGTGAAGACTTCTTTGATACTTACTCACCCGTGGCTAGACTGACCACAATTCGGGTGCTACTATCATTGGCTGCCTCACATGGTCTTCTCGTTCATCAAATGGACGTTAAGACGACTTTCCTCAATGGAGAATTGAAGGAGGAAATTTACATGGATCAGCCAGATGGTTTTGTAGTACCTGGTCAAGAAGGAAATGTGTGCAAGTTATTAAAGTCTTTATATGGCCCTAAACAAGCTCCTAAGGAGTGGCATGAGAAGTTCGAAAGAACATTAACTGCTGCCGGCTTTGTAGTAAACGATGGTGACAAGTGCGTGTACTATCACTATGGGGGGGGGCGAAGGAGTTATTCTCTGTCTGTATGTCGACGACATATTGATCTTTGGAACCAAACTTAATTTAATCAAGGAGGTTAAGGATTTCTTATCTCGCTGTTTTGAGATGAAGGATCTAGGAGTAGCTGATGTTATCTTAAACATCAAGCTGTTGAGAGATGAGAATGGTGGGATCACATTGCTTCAGCTTCATTATGTGGAAAAGGTCTTGAGTCGTTTTGGGTATAGCGACTGCATGCCTTCTCCAACTCCATATGATGCTAGTGTGTTGCTTCGAAAGAATCGACGGATTGCTAGAGATCACTGAGGTATTCTCAGATTATTGGCTCGCTTATGTATTTGGCGAGTGCCACGAGGCCTGACATCTCTTTTGCTGTGAGCAAGCTGAGTCGGTTTGTGTCAAAACCGGGAGATGATCATTGGCATGCGCTTGAGAGAGTTATGCGCTATTTGAAAGGCACCGCGAGCTATGGGATTCACTACACCGGGTATACAAAGGTATTGGAGGGTTATAGTGACTCAAACTGGATATCTGATGCTGATAAGATTAAGGCCACAAGTGGTTATGTTTTCACACTTGCTGGTGGCGCTGTTTCCTGGAAGTCTTGCAAGCAGACCATCTTAACGAGGTCAACTATGGAAACAGAACTCACAGCATTAGACACTGCCACTGTTGAAGCAGAGTGACTTCATGAACTCTTGATGGACTTACCTATGGTTGAAAAATCAATACCCCCTATCCTGATGAACTGTGATAATCAAACTGTGATCGTCAAGATAAATAGTTCTAAGGACAATATGAAGTCCTCAAGGCATGTGAAGAGGAGACTAAAATCTGTCAGAAAATTAAGGAACTCCGGAGTTATTACGTTGGATTATATCCAAACATCGAAAAACTTGGCAGATCCCTTCACAAAGGGTCTATCATGTAATGTATAGATAATGCATCGATGGAGATGGGTTTGAGACCCACCGCATGAGTTGTCCATAGTGGTAAACCACTCTATGTGATCGGAGATCCCGTGAAGTAGAAGTGGGAGACAAGCTGTTGGTCAGCTGGGAGGAAAGTATCCCTATATTAATTATCCCACTCCGTGAAGATGCAATACTCTCCTGATCTGCATGGCAGGTTGATACTTATCTTAATGTGTTCCAAGTGGCTTATTCGGGTAAGCAGAGATGTTGTCCTGCAGAACATCTTCTGAGGAACACACCTATATGAATTTGACTATTAACGTCGCAGTCTGTGAGAATTGGGTGTTTTCTAATAAATTCATGAAAGGCCCTGGAGTATGACGTATACGCTCCACCCGCGGGGAAGCCTTGCGGCAGCCCAGTATCGGTCAAGAATTTGTGTGAAACTAGTTTCACAGAAAACTTGTAGTTCAAGGCATAGTCCACTATTCAAGTTGTGATCTAGTGTAGCATAAATTTCTAAGTGGAAGTTCAACTTCACAGTCTCCATTAAGCACCGATATATAAAACAATGTTTTAGAACTAAATGATGAGATGTGCCAATGAGACTTTGTGGGGGATTGTTGGAATTTTGCTAGTAGGCCTTTGGCACAAAGCCCAACTAAAATTCTGAAATTCTCTTGGTCCATTCATGCACACATGTGAGTGGAGTGAGCGAGGCTAAAGTTTAGTCCCATCCCGGAAGTTGAGAGAGAGTTGCACCTCTTTATAAGGTGAGCTCTTCTACCACTTGTATGAGCATGAGAAGAGGAGACCTACACGCGCGCTCCTCCTCGCTCGCCTCGCCACGTCACGACGCGCCGCGCCGCGCCGCGCCGCGGGCTGCGGGATTGAGCCGAGCCGAGGACAGAGATATGCACGTTGTCTATATTTTTACTGCATGGGAAAATTAATGAGTCATTAATTAATAATTAACGGACGCGTTAATTACTGAACCGTTTGCGATTCTTTTGGATCGTGACGACTCGGACGTGGGGTTTACTCCCACGACCTATCCGGCCCGTACTATATAGTCAGACAGACGTCTACCCTAGCCGCCGCCGCTTCGTATTGTTTCTCACCACCGTTCCAGATCATTGCGCCGCCAAACAAGTCTTCTCCATCCCTCCTTCCGGCGTGCACCGCGAGAAGGGACAGCAGGCCTCCGGAACCCCGCCTCTCGTGATCCTGTACGGGAGAGGGGCGATCAGATTTTTGTGGAGCGCACTCGCGCGACTGCTGGCAGCGACGACTTCGCGAACGACAACTTCTTCCCCGACCTCGGCAACCTCGTCCTCGACGACATGGGCGACAACGTCAACGCCGACGGTGCTGCACCCACTGCATCGTATGTGATTCTATCCTTCCTGTTCGAGATCGTGGTAAAATTCATGCTTCTAGTATATGCCCTAGATGTGATATGTTCATCTGCTATGCTAGTTCGCATGATTAGTTTAATCTCTGCTGCTGTGGTCATGATTTATCTTCTGTTTATTCGAATTAAATCTCGTAGTAATTTGCTCATATTTCCAAGTGCGTACGACCCAGGTCGTACATGATTATTTTCCATCTATGACTACTACAACCATTTTGGTTACATAAATCCAGCTATCCAGGCAAAAAAGATAGGTTTGTATACAACCATTTTATGGGTTATTTTCCCTAGACAACAGTCGGAAGCCGGACATATGTCACATTGACACGTACAACGTACACATGCATTCTACCAAATCCAAATCTGAACAGCAAACGCTAGACAGTGGATACACTCATACACACTGGCAAACACACACAAAGGAGGGAGAAAGTTGCCTGTCACTCCCCGTAGAAGACGTCCTGGAAGCACTGCAGGTACTCGGGCTCCAGCGCGAACAGCACGGCGATGCCGTCGTCCCTGTCGGCGCCGCGCTGCGTCACGTACGCCGTGCCGCTGCCGAACATCTGCGCCGGCGCCACGAACCGCGGCGCGCCCCACCCGAAGTCGGCGTCGTACATGGGCATCCCCAGCCAGCTCACCACCCACAGGTCCGACTCCGGCATCAGCTGCCCGCGCGCCGCCTGGCTGCCCTTCTCCGACTCCACCTCCAGGTAGTCGATCACCGACCGCGTGTACGCGTCGTCGACATGGTCCACCGCCTTCCGGATCATGTCCGCCACGTACCCCAGCGGCTGCGACAGCACGTCGCCCACCTTCACGCTGACGAGGTCGCGCACGATGGCGTTGCCGAAGAACTGGCGCGGGAGCTGCGGGCGCAGCCGGTGCCGGATGTTGGCCGGCACGCGGAGGCGCGTGTCGGAGCCCGGGGCGAGCCCGCGCGCCACGCACATGCACCGCCAGAGGTGCGCCGTCACGGCGCCGTAGGTGGACACGCCGGGCGCGCACCGGGACTTGAGGTCGGTGAGGAGCTTTGGGGAGATGGAGTAGACGCGGGTGACGAAGGGCCGTGGGGCGCCGTTGAGGTACGCCGGCGAGTACACGGGATGGTCGAATTCGGGGTGCGGCGGTGACCGCGCGCGGAGGAGCGTCCGGTCATGGAATGGCAGCGACGGGCAAGCGTCGGAGAGGGCGAGGCCCCGCGCGAGCCCCGTCCATGTCTGGATGAAGTGGAACGCGCCCATGCCGTCCATGGTCACGTGGTGGATGCCCGTGCCCAGCACCACGCCGCCGCACTTGAGGAACGTCACCTGCCATGCACAAACAATCCACACATTAGTACACTTCAAATTCAACAAGCTATCAATAATGGGGACGGTATGTCGTATTTGAATTGCTCCTTTTACAAAAATCGCTTGCTTGCAGGTAAAAGCTACTCCCTCTGTAAACTAATATAATAACGTTTAGATCATTATTTTAATGATCTAAATGCTTTTATATTTCTTTACGAAGGGAGTATTTGATAGCTCGGTGCTTTTTAGTTATATGAGGAGGAGAATGTTTTTTTAACCATGGTTTTAAGTACTTTGATGAGTTTAAGATAAAAAATACAACAATTTTCACAAATTGTGGTGCCTATAATACCATGTTTGTTTGGCCAATATTTGCCAAGAAGTTCTCTTTATTCTAAAACAATTGAGAAAAAGCCGTGATTTTTAGAAACAGAATTATTCAGTGCCCGTACATTAGAATATCAAGATTTTAGATTACTTGGTTTTAAAAAAACCATGCTTCCAAACTAGGTCTAAGTATCTAAGTTTGTTCAATGGGTTGGTGTGCAGGTTTGCAGCCACCTGGGTCTTACTAGCTAGTGGGTAGCACTATAATCACCAATGGATTTGGGCCTAACACCTTCGCCCAAACCCTAGGAGCCTCTGTCCTGTCTCTGCCCCTAGTGGGTAGCACCATATATGAAGTGGCAGGCTAGACAGATAGAGTTATCACCACATATGAAGTGGTGTGCAAGCCGGCCAAGGTTTGAGCCTCACTTCTGCTATTTATTAAATTTGGTCACTAGTTCTTCCTATGATCAAGTTGTATTTTTAGCCTCCTCCTAGCATGTAAAAGGTGTTTGGGTTTTTATTGTGAGGCATAATGAGGGGGTTTTTCCCCTTATTCTGTTAGGGACTGTTGTTGGACCATTTAGCCATGCAAGGATGATTTGATTTTTAAGAAAAGAAAAGAAAAGTACATATTGGCTCTGCATAGGGTCTTTGCTTCAACGGCTAAAACAAGGAGCCCTTATGACGCCATCTACTCACTTGCAACGAGCCGCCAATACTATAATAGTGTCAAAAACATCTTATATAAAGTTACAGAGGGAGTACAAGATAAGTGTTGAGAATCTTCGATCATGACTCTACCACTTCCTAGGATTAACTCTTTTCTTATCCAAGTTGTAGCATATCAAACATGTCTGTGTTTGGATTATGAGGTATACCTAAGGGTTTTCTTCCCATATTCTAATGGGGGGCTGCCGCCGACCTATGGTAGACATTTTGGCTAGGTAGGCCATATATGAACTATTTGCAACAATATCATCTTGTTGCGACACGGCGGTGTAGTCTAAAACCAACCAGATAAGTATTGAGAATCATTGATCATGACTTGAAAGCGATGTCATTACTTATCCAATAATGCAAGCAGCAAGCAAGCCTTCATGTTACTTGGAAATTTGCCAAAAAAAGATGTACTCGGAAGAAGTTAGAGCAAGGAAGCCGTGTCAGGCTCACAACCACGAGTACCAACGGCGCAGTCACGATCACATCCACGCAACTAGATTGTTGATTGAGATGTTTGTTATCCTGGGGATGAGTCATACGTAGGCACCCCACGAATATGATACTACAACTATGCTTCTTCACATTATTAGTCAATAAAATAATGCATTTGTTTTGTTTTGTTTTGTTTTGAGGTTGAGATTAGCTACATAGCTTGCCACGACATGCCACACATGGTGCTAATCTCGATTCTTTGTGTCGCCGTCATTGCTCCTCTCTCACCAGAGCCAAGCCAAATTTGTTGTAGTAGACAGTTGGAAATTATCGTACTTAGGCCCCACAAAAACAACACACTAGAACAACAACCGTCGCCAATGAAGAAATCAACAAATATGATAGTTCCATCGATAAACCATAGTATCTATAACATCATTTTTTCGGCATTATTTAAAAAGGATGTCTTGAGTTTCTTTCCCTAAGGCCATCAAGAAAAACTACAATTTTCAAAAATGGAAGTATTCATTGCCCATCCATTGGAATATCAAGGTTCCAGACTACTATCATTTTAAAAATTGTGCCGTGAAATCATCTAATTAGCAAAGTTTGCTCAGTGGGCTGTTCCCCAATCTGTATTTTCTTGGGTTTTACTTTATGCGTTCGTTTCATTAGTCCCCGTTGTATTTTGGGTGAAACTCTGACATTAAATTTGAGTAGCAAAATGTAAGTGATATGTCAGAAAAATAATATGTTGTTGGATTCATAGTCGAAATAAGTTTCCAATGAGATACTATTTTTGCTACATATAACTTAAATTTTATCTAAACAAATATGGTCATGATTTTGCTCCAGATACAATAGAGACAAATATACCCGGTTAGATGAAGTGGTGGCTAGTGGATAGCACCATATATGAGGTGTGGGATAGCCAGCCAAGGTTTGAGCCTCATCTCTATGTATTAGATAAGTGTTGAGAATCATCGATTATGTCCCTAGTTCTTCCTAGGATTAACTCCTTTCTTATCAATCTCGTGGCGTGTCAAACATCTCTGGGTTTTGATTATGATGTATACGTAAGGTTTTTTTTTCCACATATTCTAGTGGGGGCGGCCGACCTATGTTAGAATCTTTGGCAACGTAGGCCGGATATGAAACTCTTTGCAATTATATCATCTTGTTGCCATGCGGCGGTGTATACTCTAAAAACAAGCAGACAAGTGTTGAGAATCATCTAGCATGACTTGAAAGCGATGCCATTACTTAATTGTCCAGTAATGGAAGCATCAAGTAGGCCCTTGTGTTGCTTACAAATTTGCCAAAAAAAAATAATGCTGTCCTCAGAAGAAGTTAGAGCGAGGAAACCGTGTCCGGCCCACAACCACGGATATCAACGGCGCCGTCACGATCACATCCACGCAACAATCCTAAAAAAATAAAAATAAAAAATCCATGCAACTTGATTCCCGATCGAGATGTTTTGTTATACTGGGGATGAGTCATACGTAGGCACCCCACCAATATTGATACTACGACTATGCTTTCTTCACACTATTTGACAATAAAATAATGCATTTGTTTGTTTTGAGTTTTGAGATTGGCTACCTAGCTTGCCACGCATCCCACACATGGTGCTAATCTCGATTCTTTGAGAATGGCTATGTGCCTATGTACATGTCAAACTTTGCTAGCTCTCTTTTATCTATTCATTCATGAGGAGCGATATGCGTCATCGCGGAGGGATCGCAAGAAAAAGAGACAAGAGACTGACCATGACACAATAATTTTGTGGATGGTACGTCGATCTCAATGTTGTTCTTCCATTCATATTTTATCCATATACGTTTGGTGTTTATCGATAAGGATATGCCGTCCCTTGCCAATCTCTATCTATCTGTAGAAGGGTCGATTACCCCAATGATGTGACATTTCCGAAGGCAACATGGGAAGAAAATTAAGCTGGCTGCCGATCGTGCAAATCCATTATTGGTCAGGTTTTCCACATCATTATGTGGACGGAATTTGCACTTGTCCAACTCCGTCCAAACCGATCGATCAATCCAAGAGAGGTATAGCTAGAAGATTCCTACCTCATTATGCTACAAGATATCCAGAGGACGTCATATTTTTAGCCATGAAAAATCGAACGTTTTTCATGGCAAATTGTGTTCATCGAGGATGACAAATCCGTCTCGGTTCATTTTTTGCCAAAAAATTGTTGTGCTTGCAAAGTAAATTTGGCATCCTCGTCAATATAAATTACTACTACTATAAAACATTCGATTTTCATAAAAACAAGACCAAGACGGCAGAAGTAAAGACAGACGATGAAATAGTTTGGCGTGAGAGACAAAGTTGAACCTGGAACATGGCCATGAGGCACGGCGGGTCGCCAGAGGGCACGAAGGGCACGAACATGCGCCTGATCTCCGGCGAGGGCTCGTAGCCGCTGCCGAAGAGGTCCTCCCCGGCGACGTCCGGCGCCCTGGCGACGACGAAGAGCGCGCCCTCGCCGTTGCAGTCGATCTGCAGCCGCCCGCCCTCGCCCTCTCGCCCGAGCCGGCCGGCCAGCGGGTAGAAGAGCACCAGCGCCCTGGCCAGCGCTGCCTTGAGCCGCTCCGGCGAGAAGAAGTCCAAGTTTTCGCCGTCGGGCGTCGGGGCCGGGGCCGGGTAGTAGTAGACGAGCGGCGTGTGCGTCTTGGGCACGGCGAGGTCGAGGTTGGAGAGCCACAGCGCCCGCCGCGGCGTCTCCTCGCTGGGCGCCACCAGCGTCGACTCCACCACCTCCACCTTCATCATCTCCCTCCTCTGTCTGTCCCTCTCAAACAAACTGTGTGCAGAATCTGTTTGCGTAATCTCGTCTGTGCGCGCGCTTTTGCTTGTGGAGGAGAGTGGAGCCGCGAGGCGGCCATGCTATATAGACGCGCGCGCTCTCGATCGTGTGACACCCGGCCCGGGTACGTGCATAACCACGCGGCCGGTCGGTGACATGCATGCACGGCATGGGACGCTGATGGGACCTACGTACGGGGCCCTTTTTCTTTTCGTTGTGATGATGAATAATCCACACCACAACATCTTGTAGTGGCAGTGAACAGGTGCACGTCGTCGTTATTTAGCAGTGCACTAATTGTAGACGGGGCGACAAGGCGGGCTGAGCCAGAGGGACCGGCCGGAACATATGTCTACGTGCAAATGGCTCGACCAATCGAGGAGCTACACGGACCA